TATGGCCCATTCATAAAGAATCGCCTCGCATCGAGGTCTTTACCAGATTCACGGTGCCCTAAATATGCACATATCGGCCTTCTCTAAATTATCATTGTCTATCGTTGCCAATGAAATATAACCTTATCACTCTAAATTATCATTGTCTATCGTTACCAATGAAATAACATTTTAGCAGACTCCAGTCGACCGCAATAATGCCACCGAGGCCAGGTCATAATGGAACATCTCTCCAGTGTACACAAGTCATATCCAATCTAACAAACTCCGAAGCGGTAAGAACACTCACCCTTTTTCGGCCATGCTTCAGAGAGAGTTAGCCTGGCGATTGACTGAAACAAGGAAGAGACGCAAACCCAGCCCCACGTTGGGCGCCATTATGTCATATCTGATGAATGGTGGTCATTATTGCTGTCAACAAAGAATCCGTTATGCTGTATCGTGTTAGAGGCTTTTATTAAAATCACGAGGTTTACAGCATAAATACAGACCCGCGGTGTCCAGAGAACGGCTCCCCGATTGCCATGGCCGTTCTGACGTCTTCCTCGCCTAACCCCCTTATTTATAAACAATGCAAAAAGAGGGGTGGCTCCCTCTTCTGGCCAATCACCAGTTTACAACACACTTCCTGTCTATTATGTGACATTATACTACACATTGCCTTTTGATACTAACATAACCAACATTCCATTTCTTCATGAAAAACATTTAACAAAGGCATAATCTTCAGATACGATACTACCTCAAATCCCTATCCTAATTAGTTAATTTTACATAGTGAGATGTTTAACCTCTTTAGGCTGAACACAGATAAAAGTTTTTCCACTATTCACCTCTCCTAGTCCTTTGTTTTTACTTCAATTGTTAGATATTTTCTCTTCTTCTCTAATCGGTGCTATCAGCTGACACCCCCCTTCGTATCTTCTAGGCTCTAGAATCCTTGCTCCGGACCCCTGTAGGGGTTCACCGGTCCTCCAGATGATCTTGACTGGCCCCTGTATCTTCCTCTGAAATTCCCTCTGATGTTTCCTCCTGACTTATTGCACTCACAGGTAAAGTGACAACCTGTCCATAATTATAACACTCTTCTGAAAGTTGCTGGAAGTGTGGCTGAAATCTTCCTCCTCCTTCTAAGCCTTCTCGTCCTCTTCCTCTCCAATTCTGTGTCTGTCCAGAAACTGGCTGTGGATATGAAACACCTGGTACCGCCCTTGGTGGCTGGTACAATTGCATTTGACCTTGTTCAGTTGAAGCTGGAACATGGAGTCCGACAGTGAAAGTGATAAGGATTGTAATGGAAGTATATATCCAGGCTTGGGGTCGATGAGGAGATGGAAGGAAGTAGGTTACAAGTTTGAATCCGATGAAGCTAGCAACAATGAGGGAGACAGTGTGTCGAGGAAGATTGGTGTCGAGTACATCAGAATGAGCTGTACTCCAGTAGCTCTGGAGATGAACTGGAAGAGAATGAGGATGAATTACCTGAGGTGGCAGGTGTAGTGAAGGTCTCGGAGCCCGAGCCTTGCCCCGATGGTCATGATAAAGATGATTCTGGTACAGTAGGAGTGACATTTTTGGAGAAAGTGAACCGCTGCCTTTTGGCTGACGTGGTTTCAGGTTGGGTGAAAAAGGACTTGGGTACTGTTGAATCAGTGAAGGTAACCCGAAGTGGACTTGTGAATTTTTTGTGTGTTTCTTCCTCCCAGAGGCACTCGGCGCTTTGCGCCACGCGAAAGGGGAAAATACCTGTTACTTGCTTTGCTCTCAGGATCAGGGCGCCATTGAAAGCAGTGATTACTGAGGTAGCGGTAAGGGTGGAGGTGTATCAACTGAAGCTGAAGATTCACAGTGTCTGAGACACCCGCCGTTTGGTGCGACGCAGACCCGGTGGCGAGCGTGCTGAAACAGAAGAGTCACTCTCTGTCCTTTTGAGTTATGATGCTGAGTCGTTACCCGACAAAGTAATGTTAGGATATATCAGTTATAAGAGCTTTTGTGCCAAATCCACTATTGTGTTTCAGGTGCCAAGCTTATGGTCATGTTGCAGCAGTGTGTAGGAGGGAGATTACAAGGTGTACGAAGTGTGCAGGAGAGCACAGGACAAAGGAATGTGTAGTATCAGTGAAAGAAGCGGTATGTGTTAACTGCAGCGGTGCCCATGTCCCTGCTGATCAGAAGCGGTCCGGTGCGAGAGGCAGGTTTAGGTTGCCAGGGTCAGAGTTGTACAGAAGGGGTCGTATGTTGAGGCAGTGAAGAAAGTAGAGGAAGATGGGTCAAGAGAGACATCAGGGATTGTAACATACTCTGTTTCACGGTAACATGGTTCTCTCAGGATACACTGTCCCTGTCCATACAGCCATCTGGGTTCTCAGTACATCGCGCTGACAGGAATAAACATCTCTCCGGGAAGAAGAAGGGTGGGGGGGTATGTTTCATGATTAACAACTCATGGTGTAATTGTAACAACATACAGGAACTCAAGTCATTTGTTCACCTGACCTAGAATTCCTAAAAATCAAATGCCGACCGTATTATCTCCCAAGAGAATTCTCTTCGGTTATTGTTACAGCCGTGTATATCCCCCCTCAAGCCGATACCACGATGACCCTCAAGGAACTTCACTGGACTTTATGCAAACTGGAAACCATATATCCTGAGGCTGCATTTATTGTAGCTGGGGATTTTATCAAAGCAAATTTGAGAAAAAGGCTCCCTAAATTCTATCAGCATTTTGACCGTAGCACTCGCGCTGGAAAAACACTGGACCATTGTTACACTAATGTGCTTTGTCGGCATACATATCCCAGTCTTCTGTCCCCACATGCTTCAAGACGGCCACCGTTGTTCCTGTATCCAAGAATGCAAAGGTAACTGAACTAAATGACTATCGCCCCGTAGCACTCTCTTCTGTCATCATGAAGTGCTTTGAGAGGTTAGTCAAGGATCATATCACCTCCATCTTACCTGTCACCCTAGACCTACTTCAATTTGCTTACCGTCCCAATAGGTCCACAGACGATGCAATCGCCATCACACTGCACACTGCCCTATCCCATCTGGACAAGAAGAATAACTATGTAAGAATGCTGTTCATTGACTATAGCTCAGCATTCAACACCATAGTACCCTCCAAGCTCATCATTAAGCTTGAGGCCCTGGGTCTCAACCCCGCCCTGTGCAATTGGGTTCTGGACTTCCTGACGGTCCGCCCCCAGGAGGTGAATGTAGGAAACAACATCTCCACTTCGCTGATCCTCAACACTGGGGCCCCACAAGGGTGTGTGCTTAGCCCCCTCCTGTACTCCCTGTTCACCCATGACTGCGTAGCCATGCACGCCTCCAACTCAATCATCAAGTTTGCAGACGACACAACAGTAGTAGGCTTGATTACCAACAATGATGAGACAGCCTACAGGGAGGAGGTGAGGGCTCACGGAGTGTGGTGTCAGGAAAATAACCTCTCACTCAACGTCAACAAAACAAAGGAGATGATCGTGGACTTCAGGAAACAGCAGAGGGTGTACCCCCCTATCCACATCGACGGGACAGCAGTGGAGAAGGTGAAACGTTTTAAGTTCCTCGGCGTACATGCTGACAGTGTGGTGAAGAATGTGCAACAGCATCTCTTCAACCTCAGGAGGCTGAAGAAATTTGGCATGTCACCTAAAACCCTCACAAACTTTTACAGATGCACAATTGAGAGCATCATGTCGGGCTTTATCACCGCCTGGTACGGCAACTGCACCGCCCACAACCGCAGGGCTCTCCAGAGGGTGGTGTGGTCTGTACAAAGTATCACCAGGGGCAAACTACCTGCCCTCCAGGACACCTATAGCACCCGATGTCACAGGAATGCAAAAAAGATAATCAAGGGCAACTACCACCCGAGCCACTGCCTGTTCACCCCGCTATCATCCAGAAGGTGAGGTCAGTACAGGTGCATCAAAGCTGGGACCGAGACTGAAAAACAGCTTTTATCTCAAGGCCATCAGACTGTTAGACAGCCATCACTAGCACAGAGACTTGAAAATCACTGGCCACTTTAATAAATGGAACACTAGTCACTTTAATAATGCCACTTTAATAACGTTGACATATCTAGCATTACCCATCTCATATGTATATACTGTATTCTATACTATCTTAATCATGTTTACATATCTTGTATTACCCATCTCATATGTGTATACTGTATTCTGTACTATCTTTTGCATCTCAGCCTATGCCGCTCTGACAATGACATTGCTCATCCATATATTTATATATTCTTATTCCATTCCTTTACTTAGATTGGTGTGTATTAGGTATTTGTTGTGGAACTGTTAGATATTACTTGCTAGATATTGCTGCACTGTCGGAACTAGAATCACAAGCATTTCGCTACACTTGCGATAACATCTGCTAACCATGTGTATATGACCAATACATTTGATTTGATTTGATTTGGGAGAGGGACCCTAAGAGGCTCCTGGTGAGTAGCAGACTTTTGCCAGGACAGAGTGATAGGCCTACCAATGAAATGTGCTTCAGTGAGGTTGGCTTTTTAGCGTTCATTGCCATGGTGCTCAACTGTACTGCAGAAATAGAATGTACATTACAGAAAATAGGTGTTGTGGTGGCAGCTGCAGAGAAGTATTTGGGTTTACGAGATTTTACTGCAGAAGAGTTACAGGGTGTGTTTTATTTGACAACTTTATTATTTCATTCCAAGTCATCATCTCATCTCTAGAGATGTTGCTCTGCTGTCTGACAAAATCACTATTTTGTAGTTCTTCAAAGGAAATAAGGCATACTTTTATGACTGCTGAATACCAACTATCAATCACTTAGATCATGTATTTTCAGGTAGAGATACCTTGCGAAGTATCAGCTGTTCTCTATATCCCCTCACGATTGCGCAGTGCTGTCTCTTCCATAGCAGGTGAGATTCGCTTGGGATATTGTTGCACATGTTTTTGTATCAGGCCTTATGTTTTCTTGTGTTGTTTTTTTGTGTACAGGGTTTGCCTTTGTCGTTCTGCTCAGCTATAAGAATCTGGATACTCTGAAGGACAGTTTTTCTCATCAGAGCCAGCAGCTCATGTCCAGTGCTGTGACGGTGTCCGTTAGCAACTCCAACACAACAAACCTGCCCCAACCGGTTAATCTCACCTTCAATCACCTGCAGGTAACACTTGTGTCTCTTCTTAATAGTCTCTGGCTGTCAGTAAAACATGTTTTTCATTTATATATTTTGCATGAAGTCAAATTTTTTCCCGAATTGACTGAGTGAAAATGGAATGAACCCCAACTCATATATACACTGTATCCTAGTCCAGTGATGTTGACCCCACCTGTGTTTATTGGTCGGATGAGAATGGACCGGGGGAGTGGTCTGGGCGGGGTTGCACTTCAGTGATGTCAAACTCCACCCACACTGTGTGCTCCTGCAACCATCTCAGCACATTTGCTCTGCTGAAGGGAATCCATCAGAAAAAGGTGATGATAAAACTAACCAGTTTCCATCCAACTTTTTTATGCGAGTAAAGTATATGTCGGATAAAAAATTTAATAACAGAACTGATGGAAACAGAAAATGTTTTGGTAAACTTTCAAAATGTCAAGAAAACAAAATACGCTAGACAAGGTGGGATCTTTTTGTTTCGGTAAAAATAATTATGCAAGAAATGTAGGTGGAAACGCTTTTATGCGTAAATATTGATATAATAACCATCATATCGAAGTACATTTAGAGTCACGCTATGACGTGTGTGGTCCTCCCTCTACGACTCGTCAGGAAAGCATGCAGTTTATTAGGCACCAGATTAAATACATTTATGATGAACTTCACAAGGTGGTAAATGTGCAAGGTCATGAGCTCTCCAATAAATATCGAGGGTCTTATTCTGGTGACATGATCATCGATGCTTGGCTGCAGTTTGACAAATAAAACAATCTCGCTTTTTTGTCCATAATAATCTCATCATGTAGGCTATACGTGCACTCTAGCCAACAGCGCACATATACTTATCCATAAACAGCGCTGTGGACTAGAGCGCAGGTGCCAATACCGGAGTGGGCACACTTCCAATATCAGTAGAGTTGAAAATGCCATCGAAAGCCATTAAACTTTTTTTTGGTACATGGGAATTTAACCGCAAAGTGTATTTGTATGTGCACTATGTCATCACGCACAGCCCTTTATCTGTCAATTTGATGGAAACACCTCTCTGTTGGAAAAATTGTAGTGTTTTAAAGCGCATTTTAGAATATTCCCATGTAAATCTGTCGCCAATTGGATGGAAACATAGTTAGTGTAGCACATCTGAAGGGGGAGAAAATATATTCCCTGATATCTGTGTCAGAGACTTCCTTTGGTTCCACTGGAAATGTTCATGTTCTAAACTGCTAAATGTAAGTGTTTGATGCATATGTCATATTATTTAAGTATTTGATGCATTTGTCACATTATTTAGGAGAGTTTGATGCTTGTTGAGTGCTGATGTTGTTTTGTTCATACTGTCTAGATGGTGTGTCTAATGCTTGTTATTCCTCGTTGGCAGAGAAGCGGCCAGCTGTCGGTGGTGATGTGGGTGGGCATTTCTGTGGCACTGGCCTTTGTGGTCCTGTCCCTGATCACGATCCTCTGGTGTCGCAATTTCAGCCGCAAACGCCGTGGAGGACACCGGCTGCAACATGATGTACAGCTCCATAGCAAATAAGACATGGATTTGAACTATTGGTGTTATAAGAAAAGCTTTACTTGGAATCCATTTGCAACATTGTCTCTTGGCTTGCAAGGACATCCAAATGCCAGCATTTTTTATTTAATTAAGTAGTATAAAAATGTATCAAACAAACAAAAATATAAGAACACATAACTTTATGTTAATAGATATACAATATCTCATGTATATAACGCTTAAAAGTTCCAGACTGTAACGGCAGAGCTCTCATCTCTATGGCAAAATATATAAGTCATTTTAGTCTCATAAGCATGGTCTGTAATTTGTAGCATACATTTTTCTAGAATAGTGGTATATCCACTCAAACCTGTATTTGTCCAGTATCATGCCACTTGGTTGTTGTTGTAACTGAGTTATTTTAAGTGAAAGTAATATTTGTCCTGTGTATTAAAACGTATTTTAATCCAAAAATCATCTTGCTATTATTTGCTCCATTCTGATTCAAATATCTAAATATGAGCTGTCCATTTCTTAAAAACTAAAGCACTACACCATACTGAAAGTACAATGAATTTGATCATTGCACACCCAATTTGATTTTTTTTGCCTCAGTAGGCTTGCCCACATGGTGTAAAGACTTCCAAACACCCAAACTGACTTAAAGGCCCAGTGCTGTCAAAAACATGATTTTCCTGTGTTTTATATATATTTAAACACTGTGAGGTTGGAATAAGACTGTGAAATTGTGAAAACTATGATAATGCCCTTTTAGTGTAAGAGCTGTTTGAAAAGACAGTCTGAAATGTCAGCCTGTTTTGGTGGGATGGAGTTTTGGCTTGCCTTGTGCAAGATATTTTGAAAGGGGAGAGACAAAGATAAGTAGCGGTGCTTCATAGTGAAATATGGATTCTAAGTCAACTTTTTCATAAGTCAGCTGGTTTAAGTGGCCCTGTTGATAAGCAATCAATAGTGTCTATACTGTGCATGTTGGTGTTTTAGATCAATATAGGGAATGTCAATCTTGGAGGGAGATAGACCCTCTATACTAGAGTCTAATTAAGGGATGCAACTCATCCTGCGATATGGCTTTTTCTTTGCAACTCTGCCTAGAAGGTCAGCATCCCGGAGTCATCTCTTCACTGTTGACATTGAGACTGGTGTTTTGCGGGTACTATTTAATGAAGCTGCCAGTTGAGGACATGTGAGGCGCCTGTTTCTCAAACTAGACACTCTAATGTATATAGGGAATGTCAATCTTGGAGGGTCTATCTGGAGATAAACCCTCTAGACTAGAGTCTAATTCAGGGATGCAACTCATCCCTGATCAGTGTCTGCTGGTTTTCATGCTTCCCTTTTAATCAGAAACCGAATTATTGTACCTGGGTGAAATCTAGTAAGTAAGTGGGTGCAAATAAGTGGGTGCAATCCCTGGCCAAACGAGGGAAGATGAACTGGAATTGTGTACCTCCTCTAGATAGACCATCATTTAGGAAAGTGGAAGCGGTCTACGCGAAACTAGACAAATCAACCTGATGCGAATTGCTATTGAATTTATCTTCTTGTGATACCCAGACAGTCCCTCTTTGTTTTTGACCTAAAATAAAAATACATTGCTAGTCATGGTGAACTATTGTTACTTCCCTGTGAGTGTGGGAACATGCATGAGGTTACCAAATTATTCTTTAGAACTTGTCACACCCTGGCTATGGGACTCTAGTTGTTGAGCCAGGGTGTGTTTGTTCTATGTGGTGTGTTTCTATGTTGGGGGTTCTAGTTCGTCTATTTCTATGTTTTGCCTGAGTGACTCCCAATCAGAGGCAACGAGTGTCAGCTGTTGGCTGGTTGTCTCTGATTGGGAGCCATATTTAAACTGTCTGTTTTTCCCTTTGTGTTTGTGGGTTTTTGTTCCGTGTTCGGTCTTCGATACCGTGGACTTCACGAGTCGTTTCTTGTTTTGTATTGTGTTTACGCTTTAACTAATTAAAGTATGTTTGTTCATCACGCTGCGCATTGGTCTCTCCCTGACGATCGTGACAGAAAAACCCACCATACCAGGACCAAGCAGCGTGTCCAGGAGCAGGCAGCCTGGACATGGGAGGAGATATTGGACGGGAAAGGGTCCTGGACCTGGGAGGAGATCCTGGCCGGGATGGATCGCCGGCCATGGAGTGAGACAGTTGAGAGGCGACGGAGAGAGGAGCAACGGCGTAAGCAGTGTCAGCGTCGGACGGTCGAGAGGCAACCCCAAAAAATGTTTAGGGGGGACACACGGCAGGGGCGACTGGGCAGCAGGAGCCTGCCACAGGGCGATTAGGTGAGGAGGCCACCAGGTTAAGGGGGCTACTGGCCCAGGGGGAGCAGGAGCTAGTGTTGCAGAGGATGGAGCTATTGGAGGCGATAAGGGAAAGGGTGAGAAATGAGGCACGGCGAGAGGAACTCGGTAGGCAGCTGAGGGAGCGGAGGGTTATGATGAAACCCAGTCCCGCTCCTCACACCAAGCAAGTGGTGTGCGTCACCAGTCCGGACCGGCCCGTTCCTGCTTCCCGCACTAAGTGTACGGTGCACGTCGCCAGCCCAGCCCGGCCTGTTCCTGTCCCTCGCACCAAGCCTACGGTGTGCGTCGCCAGCCCGGCCCGGCCTGTTCCTGCCCCTCGCACCAAACCTACGGTGTGCGTCGCCGGCCCAGCCCGGCCCGTTCCTGCTTCCCGCACTAAGTGTACGGTGCGCGTCGCCAGCCCGGCCCGGCCTGTCCCTGCTCCATGCACCAAGCCTACGGTGTGCGTCGCCAGCCCGGCCCGGCCTGTCCCTGCTCCACGCACCAAGCCTATGGTGTGCGTCGTCAGCCCGGCCCGGCCTGTCCCTGCTCCACGCACCAAGCCTACGGTGTGCGTCGCCAGCCCAGCCCGGCCTGTCCCTGCTCCATGCACCAAGCCTACGGTGCGCGTCGCCAGCCCGGACCGGCCTGTTCCTGCCACTCGCACCAAGTCTACGGTGCGCGTCGCCAGCCCGGCCCGGCCTGTTCCTGCTACTCGCACCAAGCCAGGGGTGCGAGTCATCAGCCTGGTCCAGCCCGTTCCTGCTACTCGCACCAAGCCAGGGGTGCGAGTCGTCAGCCTGGTCCAGCCCGTTCCTGCCACTCGCACCAAGCCAGGGGTACGAGTCGTCAGTCCGGTGAGGCCCGTTCCGGCTCCACGCACCAAGCCAGGGGTGCGCATCGTCAGCCCGGTCCGGCCCGTCGCTGCTCCACGCACCAAGCCAGGGGTGCGAGTCGTCAGTCCGGTGAGGCCCGTTCCGGCTCCACGCACCAAGCCAGGGGTGCGCATCGTCAGCCCGGTCCGGCCCGTTGCTGCTCCACGCACCAAGCCAGGGGTGCGAGTCGTCAGTCCGGTGAGGCCCGTTCCGGCTCCACGCACCAAGCCAGGGGTGCATATCGTCAGCCCGGTCCGGCCCGTTGCTGCTCCACGCACCAAGCCAGGGGTGCGCATCGTCAGCCAGGTCCGGTCCTTTCCTGCCTCACGCACCAAGACAGGGGTGCGCGTCGTCTGTCCGGCACAACCCGTGCCTGGGTCACCGGTGCCTAACCAGGTACCGGTCAACGGCTCCACTACGGAGTTGAAGCTAACCGCTCCTGCTACGTCCAGTCCAGCTCCAGCCAGCGGGGCCAGACCGGACCAGGGGCGCTATGGGGGGTTTGTTGGAGGGTGGGTGGGCAAGCCCGGAGCCAGAACCGCCGCCGAGGAGGTATGCCCACCCAGCCCTCCCCTGTTTTGCTCTTTTTGAGGCGCGGTCGCAGTCCGCGCCTTTAGGGGGGGGGTACTGTCACACCCTGGCTATGGGACTCTAGTTGTTGAGCCAGGGTGTGTTTGTTCTATGTGGTGTGTTTCTATGTTGGGGGTTCTAGTTCGTCTATTTCTATGTTTTGCCTGAGTGACTCCCAATCAGAGGCAACGAGTGTCAGCTGTTGGCTGGTTGTCTCTGATTGGGAGCCATATTTAAACTGTCTGTTTTTCCCTTTGTGTTTGTGGGTTTTTGTTCCGTGTTCGGTCTTTGATACCGTGGACTTCACGAGTCGTTTCTTGTTTTGTATTGTGTTTACGCTATAACTAATTAAAGTATGTTTGTTCATCACGCTGCGCATTGGTCTCTCCCTGACGATCGTGACAGAACTAAAGACAAACTGACGTGTGACACCGCCTGGTAGAGATTCTATTCCTCCTGATTGTGGGTCAGTCAATTTTCTGCTTTTTATTTGACCAACACATCATCATTGAGTCTACTTAAAACCTATATAATATATGTATGTATGTGTGCAGTTCAACCTTTGTTTTATGTCCACATTTAGCGCTACTCAAGGACCAAGGAGCAAGAGTTACTAGATGTGTGAATTGTATTGGTAATGATGGAGAATATGATTATATTTTCATGTGTAGTATTTTGCTTTACTAATGTACTTTGATCAGGAATGTTGACCTCTGATAATCTCCAGCATTAAACAGACCTTGTTTAGGAACATTCAACACTATGTACTGTTTAGTAGTGATATATTTTTTCAGAACATAATGTGTCCTCCTTCCAGAGTGCAAAGAACCTTGGCGTGACCCTGGACAAGAACCTGTCGTTCTCCGCTAACGTCAAAGCGGTGACCCGATCCTGTAGATTCATGCTCTACAACATTCGCAGAGTACGACCCTACCTTACACAGGAAGCGGCACAGGTCCTAATCCAGGCACTTGTCATCTCCCGGGGGTACCGTCACGACTTCCTCCGAAGCTGCCTCCCCTCCTTGTTTGGGCAGGCTTAGGCGTTTGTCATCACCGGCCTTCTAGCCACTGCCGCTCCATATCTCATCATTCCATTTGTCTTGTCTTGTCAATTACACACACCTGGTTCATATTCCCCTCATTAGTACATGTATAAGTTTGCAGCCGAGCGGAAATGGAGGAAAACTAGACTCCCTGTGGACCTGGCATCTTTTCACTCCCTCCTCTCTACATTTTCTTCCTCTGTTTCTGCTGCTAAAGCCAATTTCTACCACTCTAAATTCCAAGCATCTGCCTCTAACCCTAGGAAGCTCTTTGCCACCTTCTCCTCCCTGCTGAATCCTCCTCCCACTCCCCCCCTCCTCCCTCTCTGTGGATGACTTCGTCAACCATTTTGAAAAGAAGGTTGACGACATCCGATCCTCGTTTGTTAAGTCAAATGACACTGCTGGTCCTGCTCACACTGCCCTACCCTATGCTTTGACTTCTTTCTCCCCTCTCTCTCCAGATGAAATCTTGCGACTTGTGACGGCCGGCCGCCCAACAACCTGCCCGCTTGACCCTATCCCCTCCCCTCCTCTCTTCTCCAGACCATTTCCTGAGACCTTCTCCCTTACCTCACCTCGCTCATTAACTCATCCTTGACCGCTGGCTATGTCCCTTCCATCTTCAAGAGAGCGAGAGTTGCACCCCTTCTCAAAAAACCTACACTCGATCACTCCGATGTCAACAACTACAGACCAGTATCCCTTCTTTCTTTTCTCTCCAAAACTCTTGAGACACCCTGTCGTTCTCCGCTAACATCAATGCGGTAACCCGATCCTGTAGGTTCATGCTCTACAACATTCGGAGAGTACGACCCTGCCTTACACAGGAAGTGGCACAGGTCCTAATCCAGGCACTTGTCATCTCCCGTCTGGATTACTGCAACTCGCTGTTGGCTGGGCTCCCTGCCTGTGCCATTAAACCCCTACAAATCCAGAATGCCGCAGCCCGTCTGGTGTTCAACCTTCCCAAGTTCTCTCACGTCACCCCGCTCCTCCGCACACTCCACTGGCTTCCAGTCGAAGCTCGCATCTGCTACAAGACCATGGTGCTTGCCTACGGAGCTGTGAGGGGAACGGCACCTACATACCTTCAGGCTCTGATCAGTCCCTACACCCAAACGAGGACATTGCGTTCATCCACCTCTGGCCTGCTGGCCCCCCTACCTCTGCGGAAGCACAGTTCCCGCTCAGCCCAGTCAAAACTGTTCGCTGCTCTGGCACCCCAATGGTGGAACAAGCTCCCTCACGACGCCAGGACAGCGGAGTCACTCACCACCTTCCGGAGACACTTGAAACCCCACCTCTTTAAGGAATACCTGGGATAGGATAAAGTAATCCTTCTACCCCCCCCCTTACCCCACCCCCCCAAAAAAATAACATATTGTAAAGTGGTTATCCCACTGGCTATAATGTGAATGCACCAATTTGTAAGTTGCTCTGGACAAGAGCATCTGCTAAATGACGTAAATGTAAATGTATGTACTATGGAATAAACTCTGTCTTCTGCGATTTACCCTCCTGCGCCTGACTCCTTCAAATCACACTCTCACAGTTGTGATGCAGTAGTCACGACCACAATCTCACAGAACTCAGTTAAAGACTGACTTTCTGACAAATTATCCTATTTACACTTTGTAGCAAATTTTGACAGTATAGAATAAATGTTTCAGACTCATATTAATGACACATAGGCTGTTTTCTAAATGAGAATTTGGTTTATAGGGGCGGTTGCTCTTTATTGAGAAAGAAGTTGCTAGTTATGATGAACTATTGTTACTTCCCTGTGCTTACCACATGCGTGAGGTTACCAAATTATTATTTAGAATTCAAGCCAAGCTGACATGTGACATTAACTCACTGCCTGTTAGAGAGCATGGGAGCAATTATATTTCTCCTGATTCTGGGTCAGTAAATGTTCAGCTTTTTATTTGACTAAAATATCATAATTTAGTCTATTTAAAAGCTATATATGTATGTGTGCAGTTCAACCTTTGTTTATGTCTCCACTTAGCGCTTCTCAAGGACCATGGTCATGCTGTCACGATCGTCGTAGGAGTGAGTAGACCAAGGCGCAGCGTGTGAAACAAACATTACTTTAATTCGTTAAAGTATACCAAACAAAACACGACTCGTGAAGTCCACGGTAAACAAATACCGACACGGAACAAAAACCCACAACACCCAAGGGAAAACATACAGTTTAAATATGGCTCCCAATCAGAATACACAACCTAGAATACCCAACATAGAAAATGAACACATAGAATGAACACACCCTGGCTCAACATATAGAGTCCCAGAGCCAGGGTGTGACAGTACCCCCCCCTAAAGTCGTGGACTGCGACCGCGCCTCAATAAGAGCTAAACAGGGGAGGGCTGGGTGGGCATACCTCCTCGGCGGCGGTTCTGGCTCTGGCCTTGCCCACCACCCTCCAATCAACCCCCCATAGCGCCCCTGGTCCGGTCTAGCCCCGCTGGCCGGAGCCGGACTGACGACACGCACCCCTGGCTTGGTGCGTGGAGCAGGAACGGACCGGACCGGGCTGACGATGCGCCCCCCTGGCTTGGTGCGTGGAGTAGCACCTGGCCGAACCGGGCTGACGATACACACCCCTGTCTTGGTGCGTGGATCCGGAACGGGCCTCACCGGACTGACGACTCGCACCCCTGGCTTGGTGCGTGGAGCCGGAACGGGCCTCACCGGACTGACGACTCGCTCCCCTGGCTTGGTGCGAGTAGCAGGAACGGGCTGGACCAGGCTGACGACTCGCTCCCCTGGCTTGGTGCGAGTAGCAGGAACGGGCTGAACCAGGCTGACGACTCGCACCCCTGGCTTGGTGCGAGTGGCAGGAACGGGCTGGACCAGGCTGACGACTCGCACCCCTGGCTTGGTGCGAGTGGCAGGAACGGGCTGAACCAGGCTGACGACTCGCACCCCTGGCTTGGTGCGAGTGGCAGGAACGGGCTGGACCAGGCTGACGACTCGCACCCCTGGCTTGGTGCGAGTGGCAGGAACGGGCTGGACCAGGCTGACGACGCACACCGTAGGCTTAGTGCGTGGAGCAGGGACAGGCCGGACAGGGCTGACGACACACATCCTAGGCTTGGTGCGTGGAGCAGGGACAGGCCGGACAGGGCTGACGACGCACACCGTAGGCTTGGTGCGTGGAGCAGGGACAGGCTGGACAGGGCTGACGACGCACACCGTAGGCTTGGTGCGTGGAGCAGGGACAGGCCGGGCTGGGCTGGCGACGCACACCGTAGGCTTGGTGCGTGGAGCAGGGACAGGCCGGGCTGGGCTGGCGACGCACACCGTAGGCTTGGTGCGTGGAGCAGGGACAGGCCGGGCTGGGCTGGCGACGCACACCGTAGGCTTGTTGCGTGGAGCAGGGACAGGCCGGGCTGGGCTGGTGACGCACACCGTAGGCTTGGTGCGTGGAGCAGGGACAGGCCGGGCTGGGCTGGCGACGCACACCGTAGGCTTGGTGCGTGGAGCAGGAACAGGCCGGGCCGGGCTGTCGACGCACACCGTAGGCTTGGTGCGTGGAGCAGGAACAGGCCGGACCGTACTGGGAACACACACCACTGGCTTTAAACGGGGATCAGGAACGGGCCGGATCGGACCGGACTGGCAATACACCTCAGTACCTCTCGCCGTGCCTCTACAACTTCCTTCCCTCCTCTCACCAATGGCTCCCGTAACCCGGTGGCCTTCTCTCCTCGTCTCCTATTTCGCCCTGTGGCAGCCTCCTGCTGCCCAGTCGCCCATGCCGTGTGCCCCCCCCTAAAAAATTATTGGGGGTGCCTCTCGTCCGTCCGACGATGGCCCTGCTGACGCCGCTGCTCCTCTCCTGCCTGGGTCTCCCCCTTCATCGCCTTCCGGTACCGGACGGCCTCCTCCTTCGTAATCTGCCCCCAGCCGAGGAGGACATCCACCAGCGTTACCTCCTGCGTGTGTTCCTGGACACGCTGCTTGGTCCTGGTTTGGTGGGTTTTTCTGTCACGATCGTCGTAGGAGTGAGTAGACCAAGGCGCAGCGTGTGAAACAAACATTACTTTAATTCGTTAAAGTATACCAAACAAAACACGACTCGTGAAGTCCACGGTAAACAAATACCGACACGGAACAAAAACCCACAACACCCAAGGGAAAACATACAGTTTAAATATGGCTCCCAATCAGAATACACAACCTAGAACACCCAACATAGAAAATTAACACATAGAATGAACAACACCCTGGCTCAACTTATAGAGTCCCAGAGCCAGGGTGTGACACATGGAGCTTCACAGAAAGGTGGAGATGAAGCTAAGGGGATTTTGTATTATGCTATTTGTGATGTTAATGATGATGAAGACTGATGGTGATATGATATATTCATATGTAATGTATTTTAGACTTACATTTTTTAAATTATTGTATTGTTAGGTTGATCAGTAATATTCACCTAAATCAGGAATTTATAAATAGCTAATTTGTTCATTCTCCAGCATTAACCAGACCTTGCTCAAGAACATTCAACACCATTCACTTCAAGGGGTGTCTTTATTCAGAAAATATTTATCTATTTTGACTTAAATATGATCTCTGTCATAACTTTAAATACCTATCTGGCCTTTCTCATGTAGATATATACGTAGGTTAGTGTAAGGATGCTGTCTGTATGAACCTTGTGTGTGTAGGTGAGACATAACATTATTTTCCTCTGATGTAAAGGGCTTTAAACCAATAGTCTTATGGCTACCTTGAGTTTGAGACGAGACAAAACCAGTGCTTTTAAATGGCCATGTAACTACATTACACATGTCATAACGTTATTTTGTATATGTTGTGTCATATAGATATCGATGAGTGTAGTAACAACTCACTCATCTGTGGGGACAATTCAGCTTGTTTCAATACTGTTGGTAGCTACTACTGTGAGTGTCTTACTGGGTTTAAGGACTTCGCTGGTGCCACTCGACAATGCTTGGGTAAGAATTCTGTCTTTAGTATCATCCTTATAATCAGACACTTTCACCCTCATCTCTCCATCTCCACTTCATCCTCATCAATCTCAACACTCTCTTTCTCTTTCAGACATAGATGAGTGTGCTGAGAACCAACATATTTGTGGGGAATGGGACATCTGTCTCAATCAGGTGGGTAGCTACCAGTGCAAGTGTCCCACAGGATTCAGTAACTACAACTACAGACGAACTCACTGTGTAGGTGAGAGAAACAATTATTATTGGGTCTTCTTGTATTGGGTTTTGTCTAAATATTCTAAGATGGCTACCTTAACTTGTCTGTCTTCCATGTACTGGCTGACTGTACTGAACCACCATAACATTCTGTGTTAAGTTTTATTTACCCCCTGGTCTCCATGTTATGTCATCTAGATATCAATGAGTGTATGGCCAATCCACAAATCTGTGAGGACCATTCAATTTGCCTCAATACCATTGGCAGTTACTATTGTGAGTGTCTTCCTGGGTTCACATTACAGCCCACAAATATTGCAACTGGACAGTGTTTGGGTAAGTATTGTTTAATGTGTGTGTGTGTGTGTGTTTGTGTGTGTGCACTGTTTCCTTGTCATCACCCTAATATCCATATTTCTTCCTCAGGCGACTAACTCATCTCTCTCTTTCTCTTTCAGACATTAACGAGTGTAACACAGAAGGAGTATGTGGAAAGGGGGGCAATTGCCACAACCTGAATGGCAGCTACTGGTGCCTGTGTTCTGCTGGATTTACTAACTTCGGCAACAACCAAACTAAGTGTGTAGGTGAGAGACAAGCACCATTCCACCTGTCGTCCATGATGCACTCCTTTGTCATGCACGGGTCTGGACATAGTGTACTGTAGAAGGGTATTGAGATAATATGTCTCCATGTTTTTACTTTAGAGCTTAATTGTGACCAGTATGAAACACAGCCTGGTCAGGTAAAGTTTTACTTTACAATTATTACACTAAGAATTGAGAAAAGGGTATTTTTCCTTGATCTTGAAATGTTTAATGCATTTTTCCCACGGCTGCACATGCCCCCCCCCTCCCTCCCTCCTAGACTCTACCAGGCTTTGACAGTTTCGTGTCACTGTTGAGAAACAACTGTTTGGTGTTGAGCAACTCTACATTGCCTGGAACTTCAAGACAGCTGCTGACTGCAAATGTGCTTTTGACAGTAAGTCACCACACAGAAACACACACACACACACATGCAACCACACACGTATAAAACCCTTATGTCTCTCTTCTCTAGTTACTTGTTAATACCACTGATGTTCTTCACCTGGGCGTCCAGTCCAATGGTGAAGTGACTAAGTTACTGAGGACAATTGAAATGTCTATCAGACTGATCGCTCCACTGCTGACAGAGAACGTGACCAGGATAGAGACCAACCACACAAGTAACACACACACACTGAACACACGCTGACCACATATTTACCATTTCCTGACCACAATCTGAACACCATACTGACTGTAAAAGGAGCACTAACAAGCACATTGGATTGTTACAATGTTCAAATCAAATAAATGCAATATTGGGTTCTTTCAGTAATGGTGATTTCTGGTCTGTGTTGATTTTGTCTATCTTGATAAATAGAGGCTGAGATTATGGTGAGGAGAGACAAGACTCCACCTGAAGGACCAGTCAGCCTGACCAATGAGAACACTCAACTTGACACCACCTGGGAGACGGCGGTTGGAGATTACCAGAATTACCCAGGTAGCCGCGGTCCTACAGTACCAATCATCTCCTCAAAATATTATTACAGGCACACATTGATGGATTCGCTTGGGATATTGTTGCACATGTTTTTGTATCAGGCCTTATGTTTTCTTGTGTTGTTTTTTGTGTGCAGGGTTTGCCTTTGTTGTTCTGCTCAGCTATAAGAATCTGGATACTCTGAAGGACAGTTTTTCTCATCAGAGCCAGCAGCTCATGTCCAGTGCTGTGACGGTGTCCGTTAGCAACTCCAACACAACAAACCTGCCCCATCCGGTTAATCTCACCTTCAATCACCTGCAGGTAACACTTGTGTCTCTTCTTAATAGTCTCTGGCTTTCAGTAAAACATGTTTTTCCTGAATTGACTGAGTGAAAATGGAATGAACCCCAACTCATATATACACTGTATCCTAGTCCAGTGATGTTGACCCCACCTGTGTTTATTGGTCGGATGAGAATGGACCGGGGGAGTGGTCTGGGCGGGGTTGCACTTCAGTGATGTCAAACTCCACCCACACTGTGTGCTCCTGCAACCATCTCAGCACATTTGCTCTGCTGAAGGGAATCCATCAGAAAAAGGTGATGATAAAACTAACCAGTTTCCATCCAACTTTTTTTATGCGAGTAAAGTACATGTCGGATAAAAAATGTCATGACAGAACTGATGGAAACAGAAAATGTTTTGGTAAACTTTCAAAATGTCAAGAAAACAAAATACGCTAGACAAGGTGGGATCTTTTTGTGTCGGTAAAAATAAATCTGCAAGAAATGTAGGTGGAAACGCTTTTATGCGCAAATATTAATGTAATAACCATCATATCGAAGTAAATTTGGAGTCACGCTATAACGTGTGTGGTTCTCCCTCTATGTCTCGTCAGGAAAGCATGCAGTTTATTAGGCACCAGATTAAATACATTTATGATGAACTTCACAAGGTGGTAAATGTGCAAGGTGATGAGCTCGATGCTGCTTTCCAATAAATATCGAGGGTCTTATTCTGGTGACATGATCATCGATGATTGGCTGCAGTTTGACAAATAAAACAATCTCGCTTTTTTGTCCATAATAATCTCATAATGTAGGCTATACGTGCACTCTAGCCAACAGCGCACATATACTTATCCATAAACAGCGCTGTGGACTAGAGCGCAGGTGCCAATACCGGAGTGGGCACACTTCCTATATAACGCAACAGCAACATTTGTTTTTTGAGAAAACTATCAGTAGAGTTGAAAATGCCATCGAAAGCCATTAAACTTTTTTTTGGTACATGGGAATTTAACCGCAAAGTGTATTTGTATGTGCACTATGTCATCACGCACAGCCCTTTATCTGTCAATTTGATGGAAACACCTCTCTGTTGGAAAAATTGTAGTGTTTTAAAGCGCATTTTAGAATATTCCCATGTAAATCTGTCGCCAATTGGATGGAAACATAGTTAGTGTAGCACATCTGAAGGGGGAGAAAATATATTCCCAGATATCTGTGTCAGAGACTTCCTTTGGTTCCACTGGAAATGTTCATGTTCTAAACTGCTAAATGTAAGTGTTTGATGCATATGTCATATTATTTAAGTATTTGATGCATTTGTCACATTATTTAGGAGAGTTTGATGCTTGTTGAGTGCTGATGTTGTTTTGTTCATACTGTCTAGATGGTGTGTCTAATGCTTGTTATTCCTCGTTGGCAGAGAAGCGGGCAGCTGTCGGTGGTGATGTGGGTGGGCATTTCTGTGGCACTGGCCTTTGTGGTCCTGTCCCTGATCACGATCCTCTGGTGTCGCAATTTCAGCCGCAAACGCCGTGGAGGACACCGGCTGCAACATGATGTACAGCTCCATAGCAAATAAGACATGGATTTGAACTATTGGTGTTATAAGAAAAGCTTTACTTGGAATCCATTTGCAACATTGTCTCTTGGCTTGCAAGGACATCCAAATGCCAGCATTTTTTATTTAATTAAGTAGTATAAAAATGTATCAAACAAACAAAAATATAAGAACACATAACTTTATGTTAATAGATATACAATATCTCATGTATATAACGCTTAAAAGTTCCATACTGTAACAGCAGAGCTCTCATCTTTATGGCAAAATACATAAGTCATTTTAGGCTCATAAGCATGGTCTGTAATTTGTAGCATTTATTTTTCTAGAATAGTGGTATATCCACTCAAAGCTGTATTTTTCCAGTATCATGCCACTTGGTTGTTGTTGTAACTGAGTTATTTTAAGTGAAAGTAATATTTGTCCTGTGTATTAAAAGGTATTTTAATCCAAAAATCATCTTGCTATTATTTGCTCCATTCTGATTCAAATATCTAAATATGAGCTGTCCATTTCTTAAAAACTAAAGCACTACACCATACTGAAAGTACAATGAATTTGTTCATTGCACACCCAATTTAATTGTTTTGCCTCAGTAGGCTTGCCCACATGTTGTAAAGACTTCCAAACACCCAAACTGACTTAAAGGCACAGTGCTGTCAAAAACATTATTTTCCTGTGTTTTATATATATTTAAACACTGTGAGGTTGGAATAAGATTGTGAAAACTATGATAATGCCCTTTTAGTGTAAGAGCTGTTTGAAAAGACAGTCTGAAATGTCAGTGGGATGGAGTTTTGGCTTGCCTTGTGCAAGATATTTTGAAAGGGAGAGACAAAGATAAGTAGCGGTGCTTCAGAGTGAAATATGGATTCTAAGTCAACTTTTTCATAAGTCAGCTGGTTTATGTGGCCCTGTTGATAAGCAATCGATAGTGTCTATACTGTGCATGTTGGTGTTTTAGATCAATATAGGGAATGTCAATCTTGGAGGGTCTATCTTGGAGATAAACCCTCTAGACTAGAGTCTAATTCAGGGATGCAACTCATCCCTGATCAGTGTCTGCTGGTTTTCATGCTTCCCTTTTAATCAGAAACTGAATTATTGTACCTGGGTGAAATCTAGTAAGTAAGTGGGTGCAAATAAGTGGGTGCAATCCCTGGCCAAACGAGGGAAGATTAACTGGAATTGTGTTCCTCCTCTAGATAGACCATCATTTAGGAAAGTGGAAGCGGTCTACGCGAAACTAGACAAATCAACCTGATGCGAATTGCTATTGAATTTATCTTCTTGTGATACCCAGACAGTTCCTCTTTGTTTTTGACTTAAAATACAAATACATTGCTAGTCATGGTGAACTATTGTTACTTCCCTGTGAGTGTGGGGACATGCATGAGGTTACCAAATTATTCTTTAGAACTGAAGCCAAACTGACGTGTGACACTGCCTGGTAGAGATTCTATTTCTCCTGATTGTGACCAACACATCATCATTGAGTCTACTTAAAACCTATATAATATATGTATGTATGTGTGCAGTTCAACCTTTCTTTTATGTCCACATTTAGCGCTACTCAAGGACCAAGGAGCAAGAGTTACTAGATGTTTGAATGGTTTTACTCAACCGTATCCCAAACCATGGTTTCTGAATTGTATTGGTAATGATGGAGAATATGATTCTATTTTCATGTGTAGTATTTTGCTTTACTAATGTACTTTGATCAGGAATGTTGACCTCTGATAATCTCCAGCATTAAACAGACCTTGTTTAGGAACATTCAACACTATGTACTGTTTAGTAGTGATATATTTTTTCAGAACATTATGTGTCCTCCTTCCAGAGTGCAAAGAACCTTGGCGTGTCCCTGGACAACACCCTGTCGTTCTCCGCTAACATCAAAGCGGTGACCCGATCCTGTAGGTTCATGCTCTACAACATTCGCAGAGTACTACTCTACTTTACACAGGAAGCGGCACAGGTCCTAATCCAGGCACTTGTCATCTCCCGTCTGGATTACTGCAACTCGCTGTTGGCTGGGCTCCCTGCCTGTGCCATTAAACCCCTACAACTCATCCAGAACGCTGCAGCCCGTCTGGTGTTCAACCTTCCCAAGTTCTCTCACGTCACCCCGCTCCTCCGCACACTCCACTGGCTTCCAGTTGAAGCTCGCATCTGCTACAAGACCATGGTGCTTGCCTACGGAGCTGTGAGGGGAACGGCACCTCCTTACCTTCAGGTTCTGATCAGTCCCCACACCCAAATGAGGACATTAAGTTCTTCCACCTCTAGCCTGCTGGTCCCCCTACCTCTGCGGAAGCACAGTTCCCGCTCAGCCCAGTCAAAACTGTTCGCTGCTCTGGCACCCCAATGGTGGAACAAGCTCCCTCACGACGCCAGGACAGCAGAGTCACTGACCACCTTCCAGAGACACTTGAAACCCTACCTCTTTAAGGAATACCTGGGATAGTATAAAAGTAATCCTTCTACCCCCCCCTTACCCCAAACCCCAAAAAAGAAAACACATTGTAAAGTGGTTATCCCACTGGCTATAAGGTGAATGCACCAATTTGTAAGTCGCTCTGGTTAAGAGCGTCTGCTAAATGACGTAAATGTAAATGTATGTACTACGGAATAAACTCTGTCTTCTGTGATTTACCCTCCTGCGCCTGACTCCTTCAAATCACACTCTCACAGTTGTGATGCAGTAGTCACGACCACAATCTCACAGAACTCAGTTAAAGACTGACTTTCTGACAAATTATCCTATTTACACTTTGTAGCAAATTTTGACAGTATAGAATAAATGTGTCGGACTCATATCGATGACACATAGGCTGTTTTCTAAATGAGAATTTGGTTTATAGGGGCGGTTGCTCTTTATTGAGAAAGAAGTTGCTAGTTATGATGAACTATTGTTACTTCTCTGTGCTTACCACATGCGTAAGGTTACCAAATTATTGTTTAGAATTCAAGCCAAGCTGACATGTGACATTAACTCACCGCCTGTCAGAGAGCATGGGAGCAATTATATTTCTCCTGACTCTGGGTCAGTAAATGTTCAGCTTTTTATTTGACTAAAATATCATAATTTCGTCTATTTAAAAGCTATATAATATATGTATGTTTGCAGTTCAACCTTTGTTTATGTCTCCACTTAGCGCTTCTCAAGGACCATGGTCATGGAGCTCCACAGAAAGGTGGAGATGAAGCTAAGGGGATTTTGTATTATGCTATTTGTGATGTTAATGATGATGAAGACTGATGGTGATATGATATATTCATGTGTAATGTCTTTTAGACTTACATTTTTTAAATTATTGTATTGTTAGGTTGATCAGTAATATTCACCTAAATCAGCAATTTATAAATAGCTCATTTGTTCATTCTCCAGCATTAACCAGACCTTGCTCAAGAACATTCAACACCATTCACTTTAAGGGGGGTCTTTATTCAGAAAATATGTATCTATTTTGACTTAAATATGATCTCTGTCATAACTTTAAATACCTATCTGGCCGTTCTCATGTAGATACAGTGAGGTAAAAAAGTATTTGATCCCCTGCTGATTTTGTACGTTTGCCCACTGACTAAGACATGATCAGTCTATAATTTTAATGGTAAGTTTATTTGATTTATTGAACAGTGAGAGACAGTGAGAGACAGAATAACAACAACAAAATCCATTGTTATTCTGTCTCTCACTGTTCAAATAAACCTACCATTAAAATTATAGACTGATCATTTCTTTGTCAGTGGGCAAACGTACAAAATCAGCAGGGGATCAAATACTTTTTTCCCTCACTGTATACGTAGATTAGTGTAAGGATGCTGTCTGTATGAACCTTGTGTGTGTAGGTGAGAAATAACATTATTTTCCTCTGATGTATAGGGCTTTAAACCAATAGTCTTATGGCTACCTTGAGTTTGAGACGAGACAAAACCAGTGCTTTTAAATGGCCATGTAACTACATTACACATGTCATAACGTTATTTTGTATATGTTGTGTCATATAGATATCGATGAGTGTAGTAACAACTCACTCATCTGTGGGGACAATTCAGCTTGTTTCAATACTGTTGGTAGCTACTACTGTGAGTGTCTTACTGGGTTTAAGGACTTCGCTAGTGCCACTCGACAATGCTTGGGTAAGAATTCTGTCTTTAGTATCATCCTTATAATCAGACACTTTCACCCTCATCTCTCCATCTCCACTTCATCCTCATCAATCTCAACACTCTCTTTCTCTTTCAGACATAGATGAGTGTGCTGAGAACCAACATATTTGTGGGGAATGGGACATCTGTCTCAATCAGGTGGGTAGCTACCAGTGCAAGTGTCCCACAGGATTCAGTAACTACAACTACAGACGAACTCACTGTGTAGGTGAGAGAAACAATTATTATTGGGTCTTCTTGTATTGGGTTTTGTCTAAATATTCTAAGATGGCTACCTTAACTTGTCTGTCTTCCATGTACTGGCTGACTGTACTGAACCACCATAACATTCTGTGTTAAGTTTTATTTACCCCCTGGTCTCCATGTTATGTCATCTAGATATCAATGAGTGTATGGCCAATCCCCAAATTTACATTTTACATTTTAGTCATTTAGCAGACGCTCTTATCCAGAGCGACTTACAGGAGCAATTAGGGTTAAGTGCCTTGCTCAAGGGCACATTTACGTCATTTAGCAGACGCTCTTATCCAGAGCGACTACAAATTGGTGCATTAACCCTATATCCAGTGGGATAACCACTTTACAATTATACAATTATACTAATATTTTTTTTTTGGGGGGGGGGGGGGGGGGGGGGGGTTGAAGGATTACTTTATCCTATCCCAGGTGTTCCTTAAAGAGGTGGGGTTTCAAATGTCTCCGGAAGGTGGTGAGTGACTCCGCTGTCCTGGCATCGTGAGGGAGCTTGTTCCACCATTGGGGTGCCAGAGCAGCGAACAGCTTTGACTGGGCTGAGCGGGAACTATGCTTCCGCAGAGGAAGGGGAGCCAGCAGGCCAGAGGTGGATGAACGCAATGCCCTCGCCTGGGTGTAGGGACTGATCAGAGCCTGAAGGTACGGAGGTGCCGTTCCCCTCACTGCTCCATAGGCAAGCACCATGATCTTGTAACGAATGCGAGCTTCAACTGGAAGCCAGTGGAGTGTGCGGAGGAGGGGGGTGACGTGAGAGAACTTGGGAAGGTTGAACACCAGACGGGCTGCGGCATTCTGGATGAGTTGTAGGGGTTTAATGGCACAGGCAGGGAGCCCAGCCAACAGCGAGTTGCAGTAATCCAGACGGGAGATGACAAGTGCCTGGATTAGGACCTGTGCCGCTTCCTGTGTAAGGCAGGGTCGTACTCTCCGAATGTTGTAGAGCATGAACCTGCAGGATCGGGTCACCGCCTTGATGTTGGCGGAGAACGACAGGGTGTTGTCCAGGGTCACGCCAAGGCTCTTCGCACTCTGGGAGGAGGACACAACGGAGTTGTCAACCGTGATGGCGAGATCATGGAACGGGCAGTCCTTCCCCGGGAGGAAGAGCAGCTCCGTCTTGCCAGGGTTCAGCTTGAGGTGGTGATCCGTCATCCATACTGATATATCGGCCAGACATGCAGAGATGCGATTCGCCACCTGGTTATCAGAAGGGGGAAAGGAGAAGATTAGTTGTGTATCGTCAGCGTAGCAATGATAGGAGAGGCCATGTGAGGATATGACAGAGCCAAGTGACTTGGTGTATAGGGAGAAAAGGAGAGGGCCTAGAACTGAGCCCTGGGGGACACCAGTGGTGAGAGCACGTGGTGCGGAGACAGCTTCTCGCCACGCCACTTGGTAGGAGCGACCGGTCAGGTAGGACGCAATCCAGGAGTGAGCCGCGCCGGAGATGCCCAGCTCGGAGAGGGTGGAGAGGAGGATCTGATGGTTCACTGTATCAAAGGCAGCAGACAGGTCTAGAAGGACAAGAGCAGAGGAGAGAGAGTTAGCTTTAGCAGTGCGGAGAGCCTCCGTGACACAGAGAAGAGCAGTCTCAGTTGAATGACCAGTCCTGAAACCTGACTGGTTTGGATCAAGAAGGTCATTCTGAGAGAGATAGCAAGAGAGTTGGCTAAAGACGGCACGCTCAATAGTTTTGGAAAGAAAAGAAAGAAGGGATACTGGTCTGTAGTTGTTGACATCAGTGGGATCGAGTGTTGGTTTTTTGAGAAGGGGTGCAACTCTCGCTCTCTTGAAGACGGAAGGGACATGGCCAGCGGTCAAGGATGAGTTGATCAGCGAGGTGAGGTAGGGGAGAAGGTCACCGGAGATGGTCTGGAGAAGAGAGGAGGGGATGGTGTCAAGCGGGCAGGTTGTTGGGCGGCCTGCAGTCACTAGTCGCAAGATTTTATCTGGAGAGAGAGGGGAGAAAGAAGTCAAAGCATAGGGTAGGGCAGTGTGAGCAGGACCAGCAGTGTCATTAGACTTAACAAACGAGGATCGGATGTCGTCAACCTTCTTTTCAAAGTGGTTGACAAAGTCATCCACAGAGAGGGAGGAGGGGGGGGGGGGGGGGGGATTCAGCAGTGAGGAGAATGTGGCAAAGAGCTTCCTAGGGTTAGAGGCAGATGCTTGGAATTTAGAGTGGTAGAAAGTGTCCTTAGCAGCAGAAACAGATTAAGAAAATGTAGAGAGGAGGGAGTGAAAAGATGCCAGGTCGGCAGGGAGTTTAGTTTTCTTCCATTTCCGCTCAGCTGCCCGGAGCTCTGTTCTGTGAGCTCGCAATGAGTCATCAAGCCACAGAGCTGGAGGGGAGGACCGAGCCGGCCGGGAGGATAGGGGACACAGGGAGTCAAAGGATGCAGAAAGGGAGGAGAGGAGGGTTGAGGAGGCAGAATCAGGAGATTGGAGGGAGAAGGATTGAGCAGAGGGAAGAGATGATAGGATGGAAGAGGAGAGAGTAGTGGGAGAGAGAGAGCGAAGGTTGCGGCGGCGCGTTACCATCTGTGTAGGGGCAGAGTGAGTAGTGTTGGAGGAGAGCGAGAGAGAAAAGGATACAAAGTAGTGGTCGGAGACATGGAGGGGAGTTGCAGTGAGATTAGTAGAAGAGCAACATCTAGTAAAGATAAAGTCAAGCGTATTGCCTGCCTTGTGAGTGGGGGGGGATGGTGAGAGGGTGAGGTCAAAAGAGGAGAGGAGTGGAAAGAAGGAGGCAGAGAGAAATGAGTCAAATGTAGACGTGGAGAGGTTGAAATCCCCCAGAACTGTGAAGGGTGAGCCATCCTCAGGAAAGGAACTTATCAAGGCGTCAAGCTCATTGATGAACTCTCCAAGGGAACCTGGAGGGCGATAGATGACAAGGATATTAAGCTTAAATGGGCTAGTGACTGTGACAGCGTGGAATTCAAATGAGGAGATAGACAGATGGGTTAGGGGAAAAATTGAGAATGACCACTTGGGAGAGATGAGGATTCCTGTGCCACCACCCCTCTGACCAGATGCTCTCGGGGTATGCGAGAACATATGGTCAGACGAGGAGAGAGCAGTAGGAGTAGCACTGTTTTCAGTGGTAATCCATGTTTCCGTCAGTGCCAGGAAGTCGAGGGACTGGAGGGTAGCATAGGCTGGGATGAAGTCAGCCTTGTTGGCGGCAGAACGGCAGTTCCAGAGGCTGCCTGAGACCTGGAACTCCAGGTGTGTGGTGCGTGCAGGGACCACCAGGTTAGAGAGGCAGCAGCCACGCGGTGTGAGGCGTTTGTGTAGCCTGTGCGGAGAGGAGAGAACAGGGATAGGCAGAGGCATAGTTGACAGGCTGCAGCATATGGCTACAATAATGCAGAGGAGATCGGGATGAAATGAACTAAACATCAGGGAAAGGAGAGAGCAGGCCTCCCTCACCAAAAAAAATAAATATATATATATAACTCTCCCAACTTCCACCTCAGAAACTATAATTGTTTCACTGAACCACCAGAGTAAAACTCTCCCAACTTCCACTTTAGAAATTAGAATTGTTGTAAACTACAGCAGACTGTTATCAGTAGCTGTAATTAAGTACAGCAGCTACCAACCACCTAACGTTAATGCCTCGGATGAGGTTAGAAAAACAGCTGAATGGTAGCAGCTAGCTGGCTCAATCACAGGTACTCTTAAGCATGAAATAACATTGGAAACAATTAACCACAGTTGCAAAAAGTTACCAGTAGCTACCCGCTAGCTAGCTAGCTTTGTTGGTCCAAGTAGTGGGTAGGCTAGCCTCTGTGAGGACCATTCAATTTGCCTCAATACCATTGGCAGTTACTATTGTGAGTGTCTTCCTGGGTTCACATTACAGCCCACAAATATTGCAACTGGACAGTGTTTGGGTAAGTATTGTTTAATATGTGTGTGTGTGTGTGTTTGTGTGTGTGCACTGTTTCCTTGTCATCACCCTAATATCCATATTTCTTCCTCAGGCGACTAACTCATCTCTCTCTTTCTCTTTCAGACATTAACGAGTGTAACACAGAAGGAGTATGTGGAAAGGGGGGCATCTGCCACAACCTGAATGGCAGCTACTGGTGCCTGTGTTCTGCTGGATTTACTAACTTCGGCAACAACCAAACTAAGTGTGTAGGTGAGAGACAAGCACCATTCCACCTGTCGTCCATGATGCACTCCTTTGTCATGCACGGGTCTGGACATAGTGTACTGTAGAAGGGTATTGAGATAATATGTCTCCATGTTTTTACTTTAGAGCTTAATTGTGACCAGTATGAAACACAGCCTGGTCAGGTAAAGTTTTACTTTACAATTATTACACTAAGAATTGAGAAAAGGGTATTTTTCCTTGATCTTGAAATGTTTAATGCATTTTTCCCACGGCTGCACATGCCCCCCCCTCCCTCCCTCCTAGACTCTACCAGGCTTTGACAGTTTCGTGTCTCTGTTGAGAAACAACTGTTTGGTGTTGAGCAACTCTACATTGCCTGGACCTTCAAGACAGCTGCTGACTGCAAATGTGCTTTTGACAGTAAGTCACCACACAGAAACACACACACATGCAACCACACACGTATAAAACCCTTATGTCTCTCTTCTCTAGTTACTTGTTAATACCACTGATGTTCTTCACCTGGGCGTCCAGTCCAATGGTGAAGTGACTAAGTTACTGAGGACAATTGAAATGTCTATCAGACTGATCGCTCCACTGCTGACAGAGAACGTGACCAGGATAGAGACCAACCACACAAGTAACACACACACACTGAACACACGCTGACCACAATATTTACCATTTACTGACCACAATCTGAACACCATACTGACTGTAAAAGGAGCACTAACAAGCACATTGGATTGTTACAATGTTCAAATCAAATAAATGCAATATTGTGTTCTTTCAGTAATGGTGATTTCTGGTCTGTGTTGATTTTGTCTATCTTGATAAACAGAGGTTGAGATTATGGTGAGGAGAGACAAGACTCCACCTGAAGGACCAGTCAGCCTGACCAATGAGAACACTCAACTTGACACCACCTGGGAGACGGCGGTTGGAGATTACCAGAATTACCCAGGTAGCCGCGGTCCTACAGTACCAATCATCTCCTCAAAATATTATTACAGGCACACATTGATGGATTCGCTTGGGATATTGTTGCACATGTTTTTGTATCAGGCCTTATGTTTTCTTTTGTTGTTTTTGGTGTGCAGGGTTTGCCTTTGTCGTTCTGCTCAGCTATAAGAATCTGGATACTCTGAAGGACAGTTTTTCTCCTCAGAGCCAGCAGCTCATGTCCAGTGCTGTGACGGTGTCCGTTAGCAACTCCAACACAACAAACCTGCCCCAACCGGTTAATCTCACCTTCAATCACCTGCAGGTAACACTTGTGTCTCTTCTTAATAGTCTCTGGCTGTCAGTAAAATATGTTTTTCATTTATATATTTTGCATGAAGTCACATTTTTTCCTAAATTGACTGAGTGAAAATGGAATGAACCCCAACTCATATATACACTGTATCCTAGTCCAGTGATGTTGACCCCACCTGTGTTTATTGGTCGGATGAGAATGGACCGGGGGAGTGGTCTGGGCGGGGTTGCACTTCAGTGATGTCAAACTCCACCCACACTGCGTGCTCCTGCAACCATCTCAGCACATTTGCTCTGCTGAAGGGAATCCATCAGAAAAAGGTGATGATAAAACTAACCAGTTTCCATCCAACTTTTTTATGCGAGTAAAGTACATGTCGGTTAAAAAATGTCATGACAGAACTGATGGAAACAGAAAATGTTTTGGTAAACTTTCAAAATGTCAAGAAAACAAAATACGCTAGACAAGGTGGGATCTTTTTGTTTCGGTAAAAATAATTATGCAAGAAATGTAGGCGGAAACGCTTTTATGCGTAAATATTGATATAATAACCATCATATCGAAGTAAATTTGGAGTCACGCTATGACGTGTGTGGTCCTCCCTCTACGACTCGTCAGGAAAGCATGCAGTTTATTAGGCACCAGATTAAATACATTTATGATGAACTTCACAAGGTGGTAAATGTGCAAGGTCATGAGCTCTCCAATAAATATCGAGGGTCTTATTCTGGTGACATGATCATCGATGCTTGGCTGCAGTTTGACAAATAAAACAATCTCGCTTTTTTGTCCATAATAATCTCATGTAGGCTATACGTGCACTCTAGCCAACAGCGCACAAATACTTTATCCGTAAACAGCGCTGTGGACTAGAGCGCAGGTGCCAATACCGGAGTGGGCACACTTCCAATATCAGTAGAGTTGAAAATGCCATCGAAAGCCATTAAACTTTTTTTTGGTACATGGGAATTTAACCGCAAAGTGTATTTGTATGTGCACTATGTCATCACGCACAGCCCTTTATCTGTCAATTTGATGGAAACACCTCTCTGGTGGGAAAATGTTTAGTGTTTTAAAGCGCATTTTAGAATATTCCCATGTAAATCTGTCGCCAATTGGATGGAAACATAGTTAGTGTAGCACATCTGAAGGGGGAGAAAATATATATTCCCAGATATCTGTGTCAGAGACTTCCTTTGGTTCCACTGGAAATGTTCATGTTTTAAACTCCTAAATGTAAGTGTTTGATGCATATGTCATATTATTTAAGTATTTGATGCATTTGTCACATTATTTAGGAGAGTTTGATGCTTGTTGAGTGCTGATGTTGTTTTGTTCATACTGTCTAGATGGTGTGTCTAATGCTTGTTATTCCTCCTTGGCAGAGAAGCGGGCAGCTGTCGGTGGTGATGTGGGTGGGCATTTCTGTGGCACTGGCCTTTGTGGTCCTGTCCCTGATCATGTCCCTGTGGTGTCGCAATTTCAGCCGCAAACGCCGTGGAGGACACCGGCTGCAACATGATGTACAGCTCCATAGCAAATAAGACATGGATTTGAACTATCGGTGTTATAAGAAAAACTTTACTTGGAATCCATTTGCAACATTGTCTCTTGGCTTGCAAGGACATCCAAATGCCAGCATTTTTTATTTAATTAAGTAGTATAAAAATGTATCAAACAAACAAAAATATAAGAACACATAACTTTATGTTAATAGATATACAATATCTAAGGTATATAACTATTATCAGTTCCAGACTGTAACTCAGAGCTCTCATCTCTATGGCAAAATACATAAGCCATTTTAGTCTCATAAGCATGGTCTGTAATTTGTAGCATACATTTTTCTAGAATAGTGGTATATCCACTCAAAGCTGTATTTGTCCAGTATCATGCCACTTGGTTGTTGTTGTAACTGAGTTATTTTAAGTTAAAGTAATATTTGTCCTGTGTATTAAAACGTATTTTAATCCAAAAATTATCTTGCTATTATTTGCTCCATTCTGATTCAAATATCTAAATATGAGCTGTCCATTTCTTAAAAACTAAAGCACTACACCATACTGAAAGTACAATGAATTTGATCATTGCACACCCATTATTTTTTTTTTTGCCTCAGTAGGCTTGCCCACATGGTGTAAAGACTTCCAAACACCCAAACTGACTTAAAGGCCCAGTGCTGTCAAAAACATGATTTTCCTGTGTTTTATATATATTTAAACACTGTGAGGTTGGAATAAGACAGTGAAATTGTGAAAACTATGATAATGCCCTTTTAGTGTAAGAGCTGTTTGAAAAGACAGTCTGAAATGTCAGCCTGTTTTGGTGGGATGGAGTTTTGGCTTGCCTTGTGCAATATATTTTGAAAGGGGAGAGACAAAGATAAGTAGCGGTGCTTCAGAGTGAAATATGGATTCTAAGTCAGCTTTTTCATAAGTCAGCTGGTTTAAGTGGCCCTGTTGATAAGCAATCGATAGTGTCTATACTGTGCATGTTGGTGTTTTAGATCAATGTAGGGAATGTCAATCTTGGAGGGAGATAGACCCTCTATACTAGAGTCTAATTAAGGGATGCAACTCATATGGCTTTTTCTTTGCAACTCTGCCTAGACGGTCAGCATCCCGGAGTCACCTCTTCACTGTTGACATTGAGACTGGTGTTTTGCGGGTACTATTTAATGAAGCTGCCAGTTGAGGACATGTGATGCGCCTGTTTCTCAAACTAGACACTCTAATGTATATAGGGAATGTCAATTTTGGAGGGTATATCTTGGAGATAAACCCTCTAGACTAGAGTCTAATTCAGGGATGCAACTCATCCCTGATCAGTGTCTGCTGGTTTTCAAGCTTCCCTTTTAATCAGAAACTGAATTATGGTACCTGGGTGAAATCTAGTAAGTAAGTAGGTGCAAATAAGTGGGTGCAATCCCTGGCCAAACGAGGGAAGATGAACTGGAATTGTGTACCTCCTCTAGATAGACCATAATTTAGGAAAGTGGAAGCGGTCTACGCGAAACTAGACAAATCAACCTAATGCGAATTGCTATTGAATTTATCTTCTTGTGATACCCAGACAGTTCCTCCTTGTTTTTGACTTAAAATAAAAATACGTTGCTAGTCATGGTGAACTATTGTTACTTCCCTGTGAGTGTGGGAACATGCATGAGGTTACCAAATTATTATTTAGAACTGAAGGCAAACTGACGTGTGACACTGCCTGGTAGAGATTCTATTTCTCCTGATTGTGACCAACACATCATCATTGAGTCTACTGTGGTATCGCGTCGAATGCTGGTGGGTATTGCTGTCGATCAAAGAATCCCCTTAGGCTGTATCGTGTTTTAGAGACTTTTATTAATACCACGAGGTTACAGCATAAGTTCACAGACCCGCGGAGATCCGGAGAAACAGTCCCAAATAAATCTTACTGTGTTCTGCCCCTCCGTCGTTGTTCCCCCCTTATATATAGCCTTCCAAGATGTGGGTGGCTCCCTCTACTGTCCAATCCCCGTGTCTACAACACACTTCCTGTCTGTCATATGGGGCGTCACACTAAAACCTTCCCTCTTGATACCAAAAATCAACATTCTTTCAGTTCCATTTAAAAAACATTTAACACCATCATATTGTCAATACACTACATTCCCCCCTTTCGAGACAACCTAAATGTCTCGAAACCAAACAGAATAGGATTATAACAAGTAACAATTTATCTTATTTAGTATCTTTAACATTAAACCAAAAACATTCTCCTCTAGAGTGTAAATACCTTTCTATGAAATATGAACAAATCTTTATGGAGTGTAAGAGCGAAAAACTGTCCGGCAGCCATCTTTTCAGATATCCATCCATCAATCAAGACAGTAAAATTCTCTCACGGTCCCTCTGCCCCAGGCAACCACCTTCGGTACTCCAGATAACCTCATAAACAATGCAAATGCATTTGAAACTATGATGCAATTAAATACACATGTAAGCCCCTGCAAACAAAATCCTATCCAATAAATATCCATTGTAAGGCTGGTCAACCCATTGGACCGTACAATGAAACTCTCCCTTCCTAGCCTCTCTGTCCCTAAACATTCACGAAATAAACAAAAACATCTAAGATCCTCACATGTATTCAATAACATCAAACATCATTCTACAAAAATTAATCCCTAAGAATATGACACAATTATGTATTACACATGTCTATATTTCATTGCAGACACTGGAATGTAGTCCACTACACTTCATCTCCCTGTAGTCTCCTCTTCCAATGGATTTGTTGATGGAATCGGCCACACCCTCCTTGTTTCATCTCCTCCAGTCATATTGTCCCTTCCCATGTTCCCCCAAATGCTTCTGGAAGAAAAGAAAAAGACCAAACAGTATCCTTTGCAAAACAAACACTTTGAAACTAAACATCAACATCCACTAATAATATAAAAAATTATATATAAATGATATATGAATCATATAAACCCATTCCCCCCTTGATTCATAAATCATACTAAAAATCACACTAATATTGAAAAAATTGAAAAATGATCAAATAATCAAAAATGATATTTATCCATCAGTAGTCCATCTAGACCCCCTCGTCCATCTTCGTCCAGATCAGGAACAATCAACAACGGCATCTGAGTGTTGTCTCCAGGCATCACAACACCAACCCATCTTAATATCATCGCTTTTGCAAAGGTCAGTAACAAAGTACAAAAGCAAAACATGACACACAACGCTATCAGAGCTGCGACTAAAATCTGAACCATCACTGCTCCTATTGGGCCTAACTGATCTTGCAACCAAGACTTCGCTGACCATCCAGCTTTCTCAGATCTTCCAAATGCATCCCTGATATTCTTCAAGGCATCTATAACACTAGTGATATTATCGGAACTATCTGGGATCAAAGTATAACAATCATCCCCCGTCAGATTCATAGCCAAACATAAGCCACCTTGTTTTGCCAAAATATAATCAAGAGCCATGTCATGTTTCAACAGCGTCAGTCTGTGACTTCTTTGAGTATTAGACAGAAGGTGAAACCCTCTTATTGTTTCATTCGCAAAGCCCTGCAACGTATATGTAATATTATCAATATGATCTGCTAAAAATGTTACACCATACCATGGAAAAAGACCAAGTCCCCACTTCTCTCCCAGACTTATTCTCCAATGGTAGGCTTCAAGATTATTAAATTTAGCCATGTCTCTTTTAACCCTATTTCCAACAGTAGTTTCAGATTGATCTGTGTTCGGTGCTACTCCTCTTCTAATTGTAAAAACCTCATATGGAAGCTTCAACGTTGACATGTAACAACATCCTTTCCATCCATGGGGTAAGAATATATATGCTTTATCCCCACAAACCCACCAAATATCTCTAAAATTCCCAATAGTTACATTGATAGGCCAAAGGTGATCTCTCACCATCAAAGTCTTGCTGTTCTTACTACCTGGTACATAAAAAGTTACATCATATTTGTCCTTTGTAACTTTTTGTCCGTGCTTATCCAAAGTCATCATATAATCATCACAATCTGATATTCCCATGAACATACCATTTACATCATCTGTATTATTAGAACAAAAACAACTACTAGCCCTCACTGCTTTCACCTCAAATGCTTCAGGGATCGCTGTTACCTGACTTTCTTTACCATCCAACATATCCACATAGGGAAATTCATTTAACCAAGAACACTTATACCTAGGCTTAAACAAATGTTTTGACAACGACATTTCCTTATCAGTCAATGCTCGTTGATGATACAACAGCCATCTCAACGCATAGGCCTGACACCCCCCCGACAACGGTTGAGCGACAGTCTCCAAAATCGAACCCCACGTCTCTGGTGCTGGAATTCTCAACAGATATGGACCCTCAAAATTCCTCACTGATCTTACAGCATGAGTTAACTGCTGGAACCAAAGATTTCTCCCCGCCCATTGATCTTTAATTTTCAAAACAGCCGAATCAAATCCAAATGCTTTCCATTTAGCGTCTCTTTTCCCTAACGAGCGGTATTGATCAGATGTATCTTCTGATGTTAAGTTGAACCCAAAGAAATCCTCCTGTACTTCCATTATATTATCCTGTACTATTTCAGACGAACCTATATTGTTCTCTACCACTATTTGCTGAGTCATTTTTGTTACATCGTTTACTTTTAGAAAAGTTGTTGTCGGTGTCGGTATCATACCTCCTACATTTGTTATTGGCGTCGTACCAGTAAATCCTTCCAAAGTTACCATTAAAGTAGTTGATGTATTAACCTTAATAACAGTCTTTTGTTCTAACATTGGTGCTGGCACTATTGGATCCCTTGTAATCGAATGCGATATATTTATGGCTTTAACAACTGTCAATGTTGAAAGAGTTAAATTGTTTCCCACCGTTGTTATAACAGACTGACGTGTTGGTGTTATGGTTGTTATTACATTCCTAGTTTTCGTAACGTTTTGGTCTGACTTTTCTCCTAACTGGTCTAGGCCTACTTTGTCCAACTGAATCACTAGCTTCTCCTGCAACAGAGTTGCCCTTGGTGATCTTTG